GATTCAGCTCTGTAGGTCAGACTTCTGTTCACAACCTGACGCCATCTACACATCAGCTTTTACAATATCATCTTACATTTTTTTAAATAAGAAAAATCCTGTGGCACAGCAACAACCAAAATACTTACAAAATGGCAGATTATAGCCGAATGCAGCGGCTACAAACAGAACCAGGAAATCCTTTGATAAGATCAGATGTACTTTATTCAGGGGTTTTTCTATAGATATAGCATTACGCTCACTTCCAGAGGAAAATACTGCATTAGAGCGAAGCGGAAAATAATAGTTTCTTCATATATTTCATCTCAAACAACAAATACATCCAGAGTTACGGTTTCTTTACTTCCTCTACAGAAAAATGTTTAAGGTAAGGTTAACCCAAATCCCGACATCATTTATAATGTAATCATTCTGACTCAGAATCTTCTCAGAATTCGGACTTTTTTTCGAGATTTTTGACTTTTTTCGAAAAATTACGAGTTTCATACTTTTGTCATTTTTCCAAATTCTGACATTTTTCAGGATTCTCTTTCTTTTCTCAGGATTCTGGAAAAGTCAAAACTCTGCAATTTTTCTCATAAATCTGACTTTTTTCTCATAATTCTGAATTGACTGAATTCTGCCTGTTTTCAGAATACTGACTTATTTTTCTCAAACTATCAGTCACATGTGGAGATGATTTTATACACCATGGTTGTGGTCTGATCAGCTGATTTTAGACAGTTTGTATAAAGATGGATCCGCAGAAAAAGAGAGGGGGTCTTTGTTTCTGAACACAGAGGAGACACATGTTGATGTAGAAAAGACATGAAGAAGTGGATTTAGCATAATAGGGGACCTTTAATATTGAACTGAATTAGTAGAATAAAATAAAAAATACTTAATTCTCCCTCTCTGTTTCTCTGCAGTTGGCAAAGAAGTTCCACCCCGACACGAACCCAGACGACCCCGAGTCCAAAGAGAAGTTCGCCAAGCTGGCCGACGCCTACGAGGTTCACTCAGCAAATGTTTCACACTTAACTTGACTAACATGTGAATGAACCTGTTTATCTGTGGTGCTGGAAACTAGCAGAAAGATGCTACAACTGTGTGTGTGTGTGTGTGTGTGTGTGTGTGTGTGTGTGTGTGTGTGTGTGTGTGTGTGTGTGTGTGTGTGTGTGTGTGTGTGTGTGTGTGTGTGTGTGTGTGTGTGTGTGTGTGTGTGTGTGTGTGTGTGTGTGTGTGTGTGTGTGTGTGTGTGTGTGTGTGTGTGTGCGTGCGCGCACAGGTGCTGAGTGACGAGCTGAAGAGGAAGCAGTACGACACGTACGGAGCAGCGGGCTTCAACCCAAGTGAAGGCGGGGGGGCGGGTCAGCAGCAGTACTACAAAGCGGGGGGGGTCCAGCATCGACCCGGAAGAGCTGTTCCGGAAGATCTTCGGAGAGTTCAGCGGGGGGAGGGGCTTCGGAGACTTCAACAGCATGTTCGAACAGAGACCAGAGGTACACATCAGACTTTGCATCAAACACACAACACATTATAAAATACTGATATACACCTGAACATCAGCAGGAGAGGACTCTTTAAAGTAGAGACACTACATACTGATATACACCTGAACATCAGCAGGAGAGGACTCTTTAAAGTAGAGACACTACATACTGATATACACCTGAACATCAGCAGGAGAGGACTCTTTAAAGTAGAGACACTACATACTGATATACACCTGAACATCAGCAGGAGAGGACTCTTTAAAGTAGAGACACTACATACTGATATACACCTGAACATCAGCAGGAGAGGACTCTTTAAAGTAGAGACACTACATACTGATATACACCTGAACATCAGCAGGAGAGAACTCTTTAAAGTAGAGACACTACATACTGATATACACCTGAACATGAGCAGGAGAGGACTCTTTAAAGTAGAGACACTACATACTGATATACACCTGAACATGAGCAGGAGAGGACTCTTTAAAGTAGAGACACTACATACTGATATACACCTGAACATCAGCAGGAGAGGACTCTTTAAAGTAGAGACACTACATACTGATATACACCTGAACATCAGCAGGAGAGGACTCTTTAAAGTAGAGACACTACATACTGATATACACCTGAACATGAGCAGGAGAGGACTCTTTAAAGTAGAGACACTACATACTGATATACACCTGAACATCAGCAGGAGAGGACTCTTTAAAGTAGAGACACTACATACTGATATACACCTGAACATCAGCAGGGGAGGACTCTTTAAAGTAGAGACACTACATACTGATATACACCTGAACATCAGCAGGGGAGGACTCTTTAAAGTAGAGACACTACATACTGATATACACCTGATCATCAGCAGGAGAGGACTCTTTAAAGTAGAGACACTACATACTGATATACACCTGAACATCAGCAGGGGAGGACTCTTTAAAGTAGAGACACTACATACTGATATACACCTGAACATCAGCAGGGGAGGACTCTTTAAAGTAGAGACACTACATACTGATATACACCTGAACATCAGCAGGAGAGGACTCTTTAAAGTAGAGACACTACATACTGATATACACCTGAACATCAGCAGGGGAGGACTCTTTAAAGTAGAGACACTACATACTGATATACACCTGAACATCAGCAGGGGAGGACTCTTTAAAGTAGAGACACTACATACTGATATACACCTGAACATCAGCAGGAGAGGACTCTTTAAAGTAGAGACACTACATACTGATATACACCTGAACATCAGCAGGAGAGGACTCTTTAAAGTAGAGACACTACATACTGATATACACCTAAACATCAGCAGGAGAGGACTCTTTAAAGTAGAGACACTACATACTGATATACACCTGAACATCAGCAGGGGAGGACTCTTTAAAGTAGAGACACTACATACTGATATACACCTGATCATCAGCAGGAGAGGACTCTTTAAAGTAGAGACACTACATACTGATATACACCTGAACATCAGCAGGAGAGGACTCTTTAAAGTAGAGACACTACATACTGATATACACCTGAACATCAGCAGGAGAGGACTCTTTAAAGTAGAGAATAAGCTAAAGAATCTGACAGGTGTGCATGTAAGTAAATATCGTATGCTCTCCTCCCTCAGTTTGTGATGGAGCTGACGTTCTCCGAGGCAGCGAAAGGCGTTCAGAAGCCTCTGACGGTGAACCTGGACGCCGCCTGTCCGCGCTGCGATGGGAAGGGGAACGAGCCCGGCACCAAGGTGTCTCACTGCCACTACTGCAACGGCACCGGCATGGTGAGAGACCACTTCACTCAGAGACGTTACATCCTCATCACAGGGTCCCCGCGGATCCTTAAAAAGTCTTAAAAGTCTTAAATTTTTTTTTTTGATATTCAAGGTCTTAAAATGTCTAAAAAGGTCTGGAATTTTAGGAGGGGAGGCATTCATTTTTATCTCGGGCACAATGAATGAATGTGTCTATTTTTTGTAAAATGTGTATATTTTTATTTTACCGTTAACGTTTAAAAGAGCAATATTTTCCCACTTCTTTCTGTTCTTTGGTTTAGCGCCTGGCCGACGCGCTCACACATCACTCAGAGATATATTGTTGGTTTTTGGTACATTTATTTTCATGTTATCGTTTACTTTTCTTCACTGTTCGTTCTCTTTAAACACAAATGAAAGTATCTTACCGGACGATGTTGAAACAGTTTCGTCACATAAAAAAAACAAATCGGAACTTCTCTGCAGTGCAGCGGTCAAAAAAACGTTTGGCTTCACAACCAAAAAAGAACCCAGAGTATAATCAGCAGGACTCTTTTAACCAGCTGAGGCAATCGCAGCACCAATCAGCTGTCCGTGTGTCACGATCAACTGACACCAATCAATTACCTACTCCATTACATCATTAAACGATTAATAATCAAAAATAATAAATCAACATTTTGGCTCCTACAACGTTATTTTATATCCTGCAATGTCCAATACATATTTGTCTTGTACGTTAAATAGGTAGGCGAGAGCACACTCCGCTCAGTAGGTGGCAGTAGAACGCCTCGTGTGGCTGTGATCCACATTTTTGTTAATGCGAAGGCAGTCATGTTGGGTCATGTGCACTGAATATATCCCGTTCATATTAAAATGCAGTAGAACTAGGGGAGAAGGGTGGGAGGCAGGGTGGAGAGTTCAGGGGAGAGATGTCAGAGAGGGGGAGAGAGGGAGGGAGGGGAGAGAGTTCAGCACCCTGACCGCCTGGTGGAGGAAGCTGTTCCTCAGCCTGGAGGTGCGCGAGCTGAGGCTGAGGAACCTTCTTCCTGAAGGCAGGCGGCTGAAGAGGCTGTTGGAGGGGTGGGTGGAGTCACCCTCAATGCTGAGTGCTTTGCGGGTGAGGCGGCTGTTGGAGGGGTGGGTGGAGTCACCCACAATGCTGAGTGCTTTGCGGGTGAGGCGGGTGTTGTATATGTCCTGTAGTGAGGGGAGTGAGGCACCGATGATCCTCTGGGCAGAGTTCACTATGCGCTGCAGGCCCTTGCGGTTGGAGGCGGTGCAGCTTCCGAACCACAGCGTGATGCAGCTGCTGAGGATGCTCTCGGTGACGCCTCGGTAGAAGGACAGCATGATGGGGGGTGATGCTCCGGCTCGCTTGAGCTTCCGGATGAAGTACAGGCGCTGCTGGGCTTTCCTCGCTAGAGCGGTGGTGTTGTTTTTCCTGGTTCACTTCCTTCCTGAAGTTAGTCTCATCGTTGTTGCTGATGAGACCCACCACAGTAGTGTCGTCTGCAAACTTCACGATGTGGTTGGAGCTGAAGTTGGGTTTGCAGTCGTGGGTCGGCATAAGCACAGCAGCTACAGATAGATGAAAGCTGAACACCCAAGTGTGATGGAGACTTCTGGAGCGATGGAGACTCAGAGAGACACGGGGAGAGCAGGAACTTTGATGCAAACACTGGAGCTTCGGCCGGAGAACTCTAACTGTGATCGGCCGCTTGTGTGTACCACCAACATTAGTAAGAGTCAGATCCAAACATTTGTTCCGTGCTGTCGCATCTCAGTGTGAAACTTAAATTATGATGTTTTTTCCTTTTTCGCTTCCCTCTGTGTTTTTAATTTTTGTTTTGCTGTTATGTGAGCACCACGACACCAAGTCAAATTCCTCGTACGTGTCTACCTACCTGGTGATAAACCTGATTCTGATTCTTACTGGCATTGATAACTCAGAAACAATGTATTATTATGTTGGAATAACTTGTCTTTAAAGAAAGAACCAATGTATGCTACCTGCTAATAAAGCTGATTCTGATTTCTTTCTGATTGTGTGCAGGAGTCTATGAACACGGGTCCCTTCATGATGCGCAGCGCCTGCCGCCGCTGTGGAGGAAGAGGCTCCATCAACATCACCATCTGCCTCCTGTGCCGAGGCTCCGGACAGACCAAGAAGAGGCAGACCGTCTCCGTGCCCGTCCCCGCAGGTGGGGTCACCTGCAGCCGCTCAAAACAGCTGTTTGTGGCTTCATGCACAACAACACAGGGGGAGGAGTACTCAGATCTGATACTTCAGTTAGGTAGAAGTACTCAGATCTGATACTTCTGTTAGGTAGAAGTACTCAGATCTGATACTTCAGTTAGGTAGAAGTACTCAGATCTGATACTTCTGTTAGGTAGAAGTACTCAGATCTGATACTTCTGTTAGGTAGAAGTACTCAGATCTGATACTTCAGTTAGGTAGAAGTACTCAGATCTGATACTTCAGTTAGGTAGAAGTACTCAGATCTGATACTTCTGTTAGGTAGAAGTACTCAGATCTGATACTTCAGTTAGGTAGAAGTACTCAGATCTGATACTTCTGTTAGGTAGAAGTACTCAGATCTGATACTTCTGTTAGGTAGAAGTACTCAGATCTGATACTTCAGTTAGGTAGAAGTACTCAGATCTGATACTTCAGTTAGGTAGAAGTACTCAGATCTGATACTTCTGTTAGGTAGAAGTACTCAGATCTGATACTTCTGTAAAAGTAGAAGTACTCAGATCTTGTACTTCAGTAAAAGTAGAAGTACTCAGATCTGATACTTCAGTTAGGTAGAAGTACTCAGATCTGATACTTCAGTTAGGTAGAAGTACTCAGATCTGATACTTCAGTTAGGTAGAAGTACTCAGATCTTGTTCTTGAGTAAAAGTAGAAGTACTCAGATCTTGTACTTGAGTAAAAGTAGAAGTACTCAGATCTTGTACTTGAGTAAAAGTAGAAGTATCAGATCTTGTACTTCAGTAAAAGTAGAAGTACTCAGATCTTGTTCTTGAGTAAAAGTAGAAGTACTCAGATCTTGTACTTCAGTAAAAGTAGAAGTACTCAGATCTTGTACTTGAGTAAAAGTAGAAGTATCAGATCTTGTACTTGAGTAAAAGTAGAAGTACTCAGATCTTGTACTTCAGTAAAAGTAGAAGTATCAGATCTTGTACTTCAGTAAAAGTAGAAGTACTCAGATCTTGTACTTGAGTAAAAGTAGAAGTATCAGATCTTGTACTTCAGTAAAAGTAGAAGTACTCAGATCTTGTACTTCAGTAAAAGTAGAAGTATCAGATCTTGTACTTGAGTAAAAGTAGAAGTACTCAGATCTTGTACTTCAGTAAAAGTAGAAGTACTCAGATCTTGTACTTCAGTAAAAGTAGAAGTACTCAGATCTTGTTCTTGAGTAAAAGTAGAAGTACTCAGATCTGATACTTCAGTAAAAGTAGAAGTACTCAGATCTTGTACTTCAGTAAAAGTAGAAGTACTCAGATCTTGTTCTTGAGTAAAAGTAGAAGTACTCAGATCTGATACTTCTGTAAAAGTAGAAGTACTCAGATCTGATACTTCAGTGAAAGTAGAAGTACTCAGATCTGATACTTCAGTAAAAGTAGAAGTACTCAGATCTTGTACTTCAGTAAAAGTAGAAGTATCAGATCTTGTACTTGAGTAAAAGTAGAAGTACTCAGATCTTGTACTTCAGTAAAAGTAGAAGTACTCAGATCTTGTACTTCAGTAAAAGTAGAAGTACTCAGATCTTGTACTTGAGTAAAAGTAGAAGTACTCAGATCTGGTACTTCAGTAAAAGTAGAAGTACTCAGATCTTGTACTTCAGTAAAAGTAGAAGTACTCAGATCTTGTACTTGAGTAAAAGTAGAAATACTCAGATCTTGTACTTGAGTAAAAGTAGAAGTACTCAGATCTTGTACTTCAGTAAAAGTAGAAGTACTCAGATCTTGCACTTGAGTAAAAGTAGAAGTACTCAGATCTTGTACTTCAGTAAAAGTAGAAGTACTCAGATCTGATACTTCAGTAGAAGTAGAAGTACTCAGATCTGATACTTCAGTAAAAGTAGAAGTACTCAGATCTTGTACTTCAGTAAAAGTAGTAGAAGTACTCAGATCTTGTTCTTGAGTAAAAGTATAAGTACTCAGATCTTGTACTTCAGTAAAAGTAGAAGTACTCAGATCTTGTACTTCAGTAAAAGTAGAAGTACTCAGATCTGATACTTCAGTAAAAGT